AATATGCTAAAAAACAAAACTTCCTTTATGATACTTCCAAGAGGCTAATGTTACTTAGGTGTTAATAAACTCAGGGAGCATCGTCAAGGCGCCAGCTATCCCCAGGGTCGATTGTATCTTTCCTCGCCCCATGCCAGTTGGCAGAGCCAAGTCTTCAATTTCCTCCAAAAAATTGGGAGGGAATTTTTCTTTTATTTAGTTATTAAAAAAGCAAAATAAAAAACAAAAACCAGTTGTCCCACAAAATCTAATTGATATAATTCCGTCATTGACTGCACTGTATCCAAGTATTATCTATATCCTTTCTGACTATGAAAGCAACACTGTTCCTTCTTTGTTTTTCATGCCCTGAGTAGTAAACTGTATGATCTTCTGACTGAAAGTGTCCAATTCTAATCTATTTCAATTTGTAGACACCCAAGATGTCAATCCATAGTCAAATCATTTAATCTTTCATTGTGTTGAGCTTTCCCATATTCATGCTTCTTACGCTCCATGTTCCCATTGTAGTTTTGTCTTTGCAACTTCAGATCTTTGGAATATCTAGTGCCTGAGGTTGCCATGCAAGAAATCAGCAACTACATATTCCAAAGGCTTTAATCAAACCATGACATAAACACCATTAGTACTCCAAAAATTCCTCATCAATTCCTCAGCAGGAGGACCCATCATCCAGCACTATTTTGGCAATCACTTCAACTTGTTTATCCATGTGGTTTTCTACGTAAAATACAGGAACGGGTTACTACTGCCTTCTTTCATGCAGTATGAAATGATGCCACTGCCATTGTCACTCAAGAGATCATCCACTTCCAGCATCTCTCTATGTCAGTGCTGGCCAATATAGGTGCCTGTTTGCTTTAGCTGTGCAGCTGAGATGACCTTCACACATTGGGTGATTCTGCTGGCAGTATATACTCCTCCATACACTTCCAGCATTCTTCCCTCATCCCTCCCAGGAACATGCCCCCCTCCCACCATGATGAGAAAGCACAGAAGAATTTGAAGGTAAGTAAAAGTTTAATAAAATTATTTGTCTATTTATAAATAACTTTCCAAAAATAATTATTCCTTTTTTCTTCATATTGAACCAACCTTACTGAACCTATCTGCCTTAGAACCTCTGCCAAATGACATTTACCAATAAATGATTATGGTTCTGGGCTTGGAAGCTAAACAGGATTGAGGTCGGTTAGTAATTGGATGGGAAACCACTGGGCATTGTAGGCAGAACTGGGAAGTGCAAAAGACCCCAAAGAAGGCAACTACAAACAACTGCTGTATTATAGCCGAGAAATCTGCATGAACATGTCCATGGAGTTCTGCCCAAAAAAGACTTTACCTTCTTCTGATTGTGTATCACATGGGCATGTCCATGAAATTGTTAGGAGTCAAGCTGCACTTTTTTTAACTCTTGAAAAATAGCAAAACTGCTCACCTGCAACTAAGAACTGAATACCAAAGCCTATACACAAAGGCTTCTGCCAGCCTTTGGAGCTTTGCTGTATCAGACAGGAGCTAATTCTATCAGAAAGATTTGAAGAAAAGGATGAGGATCTCTTTCTTCAAGTAATATTCATTTGCATATAAATATAAAATGATCTAAATCAAGAAAACATTTCCAAAACTGAACAATACTGAAGTGGCTTTATTAGCAAAGCAATCTAGATAGCAGCCAGGCAACATTTGTCTTTGACAAAGCTGTTATCCTCCCTTCAACTACCACAAGAATTTCAGCTGAAGGCAGCTTAATTGCCTGAGTCTCTCTTTTCTCTTTGACACAAAACCTTTCCAAGACTCCTTTTACCCCTTCATGGATAAATATGGGAAGATGACGCCTCTCCTGTGCCTCTTTTTTTCTGTTGCTGTTGACAAACAGATTGGTGATGTGAAATGTGCAGATCTGTGAGCTACTTGCCTTGTTAATCAGCAGGGGACCAAAGGGAAGAACAGTTGGGGAGCAGGTCTGCAGGTTTGTTCACATTACTTTCCAGTACTATAGATCCAGAGAAACATTTCTGCCCAGATCCATGCTGCTCTGTATGTTGGACTTGCTCTCTCCTGTTACAATAAATGACTGTGAATCACCACCTGCCCCAGGGATAAGCAGTATCACAATGTACCTGACCAACAGTTTTGTTCACTAACACAAGTAGAAAAGAGAGCTACAGGACAGCAACTTTCTCTCAACTTTGGAGCCACAGAAATATGCAGAAATACGCCATGCAAGGTGTAAGGGGTACCACAATCCTTCCACTTTCTCAGTATCACTTAGGAGTAAGGTTGGTGAGGACTCAAACTCTTGTGTGGTAAAAGTGCCTATTAAACTTTTAGGGTCCACTCCCTTAGCAGGCGCAACCTTGGTCAAAAGAACATTGGTGGCTGCTACAGGCTATTTTCAGACAACAGCGTCCAGTCAGGCCCCATTCCTACCACTGCTTTCCAAGGTAATAACCTAAGATGAACTTTCTAGATCAGGACAATTATTAGCGTAGCTTTCTCCTTGGAGATACTGTGGACAACTTTAGATACTGTACAGAGACAGTGGACCCCATATAATCAAAAGAGAAAAATAAAGGGATCTTGTTAAACCAAACACCAAGTCAGCTCTTTATATAAAAGGGATATCAATGTGCAGGGGGATCTTGCTGCAATCAAGACCAGGCCCCTGATCATCTCTTCCTCACTGCCTGTACTGGATACAGGTATCAGTTGGGCCAGTAGGCCTGTACCAAGAGCTGGAGAAAGGCAACTGGCAGAATACACTTACCCCCCTGTTTAAGAATCTATTGATAATGACAACAATGAGAATAAAACTTTCTAGAGAGAGGCTTGTTCTGCTCCCTAGCAGTCACCAGGAAGAGGGGACGAAGTGGAAAACAGGCTCCTAAGGGCCATCCAAATCTGTCCCGCTTTTAAGAAGCCGCAACTTAGGCTATGCTGGCTCTGCCCCTTTCACTGCCTGGTGGGGGAAAATGTATTCTCA